GTACCCTTTGGTTATTTGATGATGCATGGAGGGGACTGTAATCATTGCAATATGAAATATGATGGGATGAATTTAAAACTGATGTTCTCCCATGTAAACTATCACATAATTAACAATAAAAACTGTGTGTTGAAACCTCCTTGATCCAAGAGACAGAAGGCTATAACATCAGAGGAGTGGCCGAGAAGCAATAGCAGTAGAACCAAGAGCACAAGACAGAGCAGTGGGCTTCCTAGGCCATGTCAAGAGTAAACCTGAGTGCCTTCAGGCAGGGGTTTACTTGTGGCCTGAGATGCCTTTACACTTAATCAGGGGAGCCAGGCTTACCAACCCATGGTACCCAAAGAATTGAGTGCCTTCAATCTGAGGCTTACTTAAGGTTGAGTGAAGTGCCCTTGGGACACTTATTTAATTTATTTATTTTAATGTTTTATTGTGAATTATATGATAGTTTACATGGGAGAACATTAGTTTTACATTCATCCTATGGTATATTGTTTCATTGCTATGGTTACAATACCCTCCATGCATCATCAACCAATCACAGAGTAAACCCTACAAGCCTGCCCCCACCCCCCCACCCCCAGTCATCAGCACACAGCCCCTCTCCCTCTCTGGGTCTAAAGCTTGGGACACTTATTGACAGTGCTGAAAGAACTTTGTAACACTGTCCAGACAGGGTACATGCCAAGGTACATGACTGAGAGGCCGAGGACCAGAGAGAGGCATGCCTGAGGGCATGACTGAGAAGAGGCACACCAGACAGAAGAATTGCAACCTGAACATTTACAATCCTGAACTTTAACCTGTTCATTTCCTTAATGAACCCCATAATCATGAGTGTGGTTTGGATTTCCGTGTGGCCGTTGCAATGAATTACCAAACCCAGCAGAGAAGTAGACTGTGCCATGGGAGGGGCAGTTGGCATGAGGATTGGTACAGAAGGCCGGAGGGTAGAAGTATGTCTGATTCAGCCTCATAGGAACCCGCCTTGGGTTGATGTTCAGTTTGATTCTCCTTCCTGCTTGTGAAGCTGCAGGTGATTGACACTGCCCCCACACTATATTTCCAGATGCTAAACAGTGTTCAGCATACCTTCAAGGCTAAGATGGACTAGAAAGAAAGGCCTTGAGATGTCCTTCTGAAAATCAGCCAGTGAAAACCCTATGCAACCATATCATGCATGGGTTTGCCATGTGTTGGGGGCCAACTTGACAGCAACTACTTGACAGTAATTTGAGAATCTTTTTATTTCCTCTCAGTGAACATTAGCTGAGCATCTACTATAGTCTGACACTGTGATGGGAGTCGAAGGCACGAAAATGAACCAAGTAAAAGTTCTTACCCTCAGTCAGTTTACAGTTTAATGAGTGAGATGATGCTGTGTTGGATGGTTATATTTAGTGGGATCTGAGCTCAGGTGAAGGGAGTCCTTATTGACCATGAAAAGCATATGAAAGAAAATAAGACTTTAAAGTTGAGCCTTAAAAAGAACTTAGTTCACTAGACATAAAATGGAGCATAATGGAGAGTTTTTCTAGGTAAAAGGAACTTTCTATGCAATAGTGCCTGGCACAGGGAGAGGGTTGTTGTTGCTGTTGTTAAGTGCCGTTGAGCCAGTTCCAACTCATAGTGACCCTGTACAGGGTTTCTGAGAAGCAGCTGGTGAGTATGAACAATACTTATTCTACAGTACCACACCAGATCTCCCCTGCCTCCCTAAAAACCTAGTATTAGTGCTCTCAGCTATCTGATCTTAGAGGTCCCAAATGAGAGCCTTTTGTCCAAATTTACAGAAGACAACCTGAAGAGAGCCACCCACAAGGAACCTCAGGCTCATGAAAGCTCTGATAGGGCTCAAAGAATAGAATCAAATCTCTGGCTTTCTAGGACACCACATTTTGGTTTTGATGGTAGTTCTTTTTCTCCCTATTCTTCATGTGATCATTTTCTCAATTTTCCCCTTTCTAGTTCAGGCTTTTTCTATAATACTTTTATTGGGCACATTTTTTTTTTTTCTCCTTCCTAGCTGAGACTATTATATCTTGCTATTGTACTGTTCCTTTCCCATTGAAAGCAATCAAAAATGAAAATCCACATTTTAGAACAGTGTCTAAATCCACATTTTAGAACAGTTTTTGTGGATGAAAACCAGAAAGCGCTCTCTAGGGACTGGTTTTCAGCTCTACATCGACCCAAAGGTTGAGTACTTGGTGAGAGAGACTTCTCCAGCATATGCCATTTGAATTTGGTAATTGAGAGTGATGGAACAAAGTGTGGAGTCAGAGCCAACTTATATTTTAAAGAATGAATGCCTTAGTTGAAAGCCTTGCTAATCAAAGTATGGTCTGTGAACCAGTAAGTAACAAAAGCCTTGTCAGGGAGCTAGTTAGAAATGCAAAATCCTAGGCCCCACCCTAAGACTGAATGAATGAATTAAAATTAACCTTTCAAAATATCCCCAGGTGATTCATATGTACATTCAGAAATTCTGGTGTGGCACTATGGGTTAATGCACCAGACTGCAAAGCCATTTGAACTGCAAGGGCAGCGGTTCAAGTTCATTAGTCATTAGTCGCTCCTCAGAAACCCTATGCAAGGTCATTATGGGAACGGCATTTAACAACAACAACAACAACAACAACAACAACGTGCCACCACAGCATAAGCATTCAACTCCAAAACTGGTTTGAACCACAAGGTCTGTTGTTCAAACTCACCAGCCAGGAACCTTATACAGAGTCTCTATGAGTTGGAACGACTCAATGGTACTTGCCAATGTCTACAGACATGAACCAACTAGATAGATGGCACTTAACAAAGACAAAGTCTACAGGCATAGAGTCTGGGAGTGACACTGTAGGATAAGCACTGTAGTACTAGCCACAAGGTGGGCGGTTCAAACCCATCAGCCGCTCCTTGGAAACCCTGTACAGAGTCACTATGAGTCAGAACTGACTCTACCGCACTTAGCAACGACAGCAACATCTACAGAACTCTAAAGAGAATTTGCTCTTATTCCATCCTGAAATATAATTTGCTTTTACCCACCCCCCAAAGAACAAATATCTCAGTATAATGAACTTCACAAGACATTCCCCACCACCTTTCTCCATCCAAGCTGTTTATGCATAGAGGAATTCTGAAATGATAAATATTCTTCTAGAAATCAGTCTGTGCCTGAAAGAGCCTCTCTGCAGTGCATGAGTACCTCAAAAGAAAAGAAACGGCTCTGAAACTGAGGAGAGAGGCAACTCTTACTCCCACCCTCCTCTTCAAGGCTTTGGGTCTTTTGTCTTGATGTGTTTCCTTCTATGCAGAGACGGATAAAAGATGTGCTGTATGAACCTCCCAGGCGACTGACATGACAGCTAGGGGATCATGCTGGGCACCGAACTCAGAGATCCTTTGAGGAGAATGCTCAACACAAATGGGTGGAACCCAGAGCACATCCAATAAGAATTGTCAAGACAAAAGGTGGATGAGCCCCGACACATGATTCTACCTACAGGGGATAAATGAACCAAGAAGAAGGAAAATCATGTGGACCTGGTTTGAGGAAAAGAAAACTAGGCAACAAAAGAGAAGAGGGGAAGAAATGTGCCAGCCCCACTCCACCTTGCTCTGCCCACCTGTGCTCCCTCATTCATGAAGCTGTGTTAATGTCCAGGGCACGGCAGAGTCCTGGCAAGGTGCCCAACACTTGGCCTGTTCTTTTATGAAGAAGAAGCCTGGCTTAGCGATATCTCTCCAACAATACCAACACCAAAAAAGTTGCCCCTTATTACAAAACAAAAGCAAAACCAGGTTCCCAACAAAGTGTCTTCTCAATAATTCTGACAGGTATGCACATCACAACAAGCTCTGGACAGATTTCTAAATGCAACACCAGCGTTATTGATTGCTCTGTGTTAAAGTCCAACTTGTTATTCCTTCCCCTACTTCTGAGTTTTCCATCTTTACTTTTAAAGTCTCTGAAACATCAATATTTTAAAATACCAAAAAAAAAAAAAAAATGGTTTATTTATATCAATCAATACTTGTTTCTCGACCATTTATAATTGATTTGTATATAAACAGCATATATGGTTAGACAGCAAACATGGTTCATGTCCACATCAGCCAGCCCTCCTCACTGGAAGTTTGGAATGGACAGCAATGATGAACAGCAATAAGGAATGGAAGTTGGGAGGCTTTCACGTTCTGAAATTCGGACAGAAGCTCCATCTGTCATCCTCTACCACAACCAAAAGATAGCCGCCCCCTTCTCCAGCACCAAGTATGTTATAAATTAGACGCCTCCAGAGACTGAGGCTATCTATTTCCTTTCAGCTCACTTCCCCTTCATACAAGAGCACTTGACTTTTCCCCCTGTAAATCAGACCTAGATAGGAAAGCAATTTTCCAGACGCACAGCTGAAGGAAAACCTCTGGCTGCCCTCCCCACCCCCAACATGCACAGACATGCTGGCACACACCACTTTCCAAGGAAATGAAGAGAAAGTTAACTTTCAAATAAACCTGTTCTTCAGGCCAGAACGGCCATGTTTTCAGACCCTTCCCATTCATAAACATGGCTCTTGCAACTCTTGCCTAAATACAGATAGGGAAATCTAACCTGTCTGCTGAAGACAGAGGCGGGGGTAATAGGTACCTAAACACTGTTAATCTCAAATGCACCACTCTCCCCCTGTCTCTTGACCAAAGTGAGAATAAGGAGGGAAGCTTTGTTGTCTTTCCTTCCCATAAGCCAGGCTGGGAGGTTGTTGGGAAGCCACAATCAGAATGTGGTGGGCGAATGTGTGCGCCCACGGGGAAATTACAGGGAACTCCGGGGTTCTGAAGAGTGTGGTTTCAGACTGCGGCACTTGAGACCCACGGGTTCTCAGGTACCCCTAAAGTCTGGTTGTACGTGAGCGGGCAAGGCTCTCTAGCCAGAGCGGCTTCACCTCCCCTCCGGGGTTGTCTCTAGTCCTCCGCATCACAGCGGGGTCACTCACCCCCGGTGAGCTGTGCAGGTCCGAAGCACAGGGCTAGCTGAAACCACAAAATCACGGCTAAGAGTCTCTGGGGGGATTGAGGCTGTTGCTGCTGCTGCTCTAGAAATCCATCTCCATTGCTCGGGTTCATTCCATGATACATCTTTCATCCACAGAGGGCATCCGGCTTGCAAGAGTCTGCAACCAAGAGCGGAACACAATGCTTCAGGCTGCTGGGGCTCTGGGGCCACACTCCCCTTCCTCCGTCCGAGACCCCGGTGCCCTGGCTCCTCGGTCTCCATCCCCGCTGCAACCCCATGCAGCCCCCGCCCCCTTTCCCACGGCGAGCTCCCCGCCCCCCGCGCGGGGGTACATTGAGTAACAACCGCCGTGGGATGCTGCGCGTGCGGGAGGGAAGGAGAAAGGGAAGAGGGGAGGGATTCGCGCACATTGGCTCTGCGCTGGTCCCTAGATCCAGCGGTTGTGACCATAACAAGAAAGTCTACAGCCTCCCAGCATCTCCGGGTTGAGCGACCACTTTTCCCTGGGCCTACACATTTCACTCTTGCAAATCTCACAATGTGGCACTGGATCCCCCTGCTACTTCTCAGGCTTTCCGCTGAATCGTGATAGGTCCTATTGCTACAGTCCCCAAAGAGAATTCTCTGAGCGGTCCAAAAATTCCTTCCTTGAAGAGTAAAAAGCAGACACCAACTCCCTCTCCCTGGCCTGCGCGCTCTACCCCGAGATGGGAAGCCCCTTCCCGGGTTTGCGGGCTTACCTGTGGGGCTCATGCATGTAGCTTCCTTTCCTCCTCCGCCTCCTCCCCCCGCCAGTCTCACCCGCATCTGTGCGCGACCTCTACTACCGCCGCTGCGCGAGCGAGCGAGACAGAAACCTCGGCGGCGGTGGCGCCCGGCTCCAGCTCCCCCTTCCGCGCTCTCCCTCCCCAGGCTCCAGCGGGCTAGCGGGAGGCTGCGGGGGGAGGACGGCAGTCTGGCCGCGCGTCCCCGAGGATGTGCCGCGCGCGCGGTACCTGAGCTCGGCAGCACGCGCAGCGTCGGCGACGCGGAAAGAGGGAGGAGGAGGGGCGGGGTAGTGGGCGCGGAGGCAGGGGAGCGCGCGGGCACGCGCCTAGGCCGTCTGAGCTGGAGCTGCAGAGAAGGAGGGGGACCCGCGAAGGCGGGGAGGGGGGAAGGGACCCGCGCCGCCGCCGCGACCAATGGGAAGCCCGCGCGCCTGCACCTGTCGGGGTGCGAGGTGTCCTGCGGCCGCTCTCACAGGTACCCACTGGTGCCCCTTCCGGGGCACTGGACGGCGGCTCCCTGCCCCTCTGTACGCGAGCCCCGGTGCTCGCCGCGGCCTCCGCTTGTCCTCTGTGCCCCCGCGCGCCACTCGAAGAGCGGCTTCTCCTGGGACTGCTGCCGCGGAGACGGCTTCAACCAGGGTGGTGAGAGCGCGCGACCTGCCTGGCTCCCCACCCTAAGGCCCTCACTATTAACGCGGTTAACTTGGAGTCGGGAGCAGGGAAAGAGGTGTCAATGGTGAAGGTCGCTTATCTTCCAGCGGTAACACCCTCCACCCCCTACGTCGAGGCTTTGATTGTTCCCTGGGAGCCAGAGTGACAACCTGAGGAGACTGAAACCCTAGCCTCACCTTTGACATTTTTCTGTTTGCGAGCCGCTGACGTTGAATGTAAGGATTCCTAAAGAGTCTTGGATATACACTAACCCTTGTGAGCCTCAGCAGAGAAGGGAACCCTAGGGCAGAGAATCAGTAGGATAATTGGTGCCGCTAGCAATGTTGTGTAAGGGGGAAGGAGGAGTGGAAAGGGAGGCTTCTAGGATCTGGGGTCGAAACCCAAAGAGTCAACACTTGGTGGAGGGAGTTCTACAGCAGAGACAGTGCCTTCTGTATGCGGTTTCTGGTGCCCACGTGCGCTCCGCAGCGGATGCCTTTCTCACTCCCCACCAGTTTGACCCATTACAGTGTTTCCCAAAGATTGGTCCCCTCAGCTTTCTAGACTCCGTGGGACAACGTCAGCCATAACAGTTAAGGGGTGTGAGCTAATGAGGTGATGCCAGTAGGCAGCACTTTAGAACCCATTGCTGTTGTTAAGTACCTGGAGTCAGCCCCACTCATAGCGGCCCTCAGCACTATCCTGTCCTGCTCTATCCTCACAATCCTTGTGTTTGAGCTCCTTGTTGCAACCACTGTATCAATCCATCTCCTTGACGGGCCTTCCTCTTTTTCACTGCGCCTTTATTTACCAAGCATGATGGACGACTAGTGCCTCCTGATAACGTGTCCCAAAAACATTCATTGAAGTCTTGCCATCCTTGCTTCTAACAAGCATTCTGGCTGTACTTCGTCCAAGACAGATTTGTTTTTTCTTCTGCAGTCCATGATAGTTCCAATATTTTTCACATTCTTTTGCAGCAATGTACGGCTGTGAAAACGATGTTGCTGATACCAAAATCAGCCCTTGTTTCTTTCAGCTTTCCCCAAATCTCACATACCGATGGTAGTTGAGAAATTATAGCATTAATCTGTTGACTTTCACTGGGAGTAATTTTTACAAATTCTTTCAGGTTACATAGCTTATAGTAGATAAATCAAGATCAATGTGTTTTTACTTTGTAAAATTTAAATGAGAGCGTTGCACAGAATAAGCTTAAGATTTCAACAGCACAAATTTTTATTGCCTTGTACTTTGGGTTTCCAAACTCTAGGTTGTCTACCTTTCTATATATCTAAGGTCATATGACTGCCCTCAACAGTTTGAACATTTATTTCACTTTTATCTCAGTACATATTCTAATATCTTCCTTGGCTTTGTTAAGTGCTATCCAGTCAGTTCCAACATATAGTGACCCTCTACAGAGTTTTGAGGCTGTAAATCTTGCAAAGCCTCTTCTTTCTCCCACAGAGTGGCAGATGGGCTAGAACTATAAACCTTGTGGTTTGCAGTTCAGTGTTTTTTTTCCCTACAGAACCACTATGCTGCCTATTTTTTCTTATAGTCATTAAATCAATAAAAGCTCAAAAAATTTTGTGACCATGAACATATTTCTACAATCAGAAAAGATATATCTGAAGACTATTGAAATCTGTTTTCCATCTGGCATAAATCTGTTTGTACAAAGAATGTCAGGATTAGAAGGAATGTCCAAGTTTATCTAGTCCAAACACCTTGAGGCCCCTGTCTGGTATTTCTAATATGTGCTTATCTAGTCTTGTTAAATACTTCTTCAGGAAGCCATTTACGTTTGCCAATAGCTCTCTTAGATAATGAAAACCAAACCTGGAAAAAAAAAAAAAAAAATGTCATTGAGTTGACTGACTTATGGGGACCCATGTGTGTCCTCAAGCTGAGGGAACTGAAGAAAAAATTCAAGCCTTGACTTTCGTTATTGAAAGATTCTCTGGGCAAAGTATTGAATGATGCAGAAAGCATCAAGAGAAGATGGAAGGAATACACAGAGTCACTGTACCAAAAGGAAATGTTTCATGTTCAGCCGTTTCAAGAGGTAGCATATATGATCAACAGCCAATGATACTGAAGGAGGAATTCCAAGGTGCACTGAAGGAATTGGCAAAGAACAAGGCACCAGGAATTGATGGAATAAAAATTGAAGTCTTTCAAGAAAGTGAAACTCACTCATCTATGCCAAGAAATTTACAAGACTACTATCTGGCCGACTGATTTGTGCCCATTCCAAAGAAAGGTGACCCAATGGAATGTGGAAGTCTCTTTGATACCCCATGCAAGTAGAATTTTGCTAAAGGTAATACAGAAATGGCTACAATCATACATTGACAGAGAACTTCCAGAGGTTCAAACCGGATTCCAAAGAGGCCATGGAACAAGGGATATCATTGCTGATGTCCGATGGATCTTGGCTTAAAGCAGAGAATATCAGAAAGATGTTTACCTGTGCTTTATTGACTATGCAAGGCTTTCGATTGTGTGGATCACAACAAGCTATGGACAACATTGCGAAGTATGAGTATTCCGGAACACTTAAATTGTGCTCATGAGGAATCTGTACCAGGACCAAGAGGCAGTTGTTCGAACAGAACATGGGAACACTGAATGGTTTAAAATTAAAAAAGGTGTGCTACAAGGTTGTATTCTTTCACCATACTTATTCAGCCTGTTTGCTGAAGTTGGGTTATATGAAGAAAAACGTGGCACCGGGATTGGAGGAAGACTCATTAACAACCTGCTATATGCAGATGATACAACCTTGCTTGCTGAATGTGAAGAGGACTTAAAACATTTACTGATGAAGATCAAAGAGCACAGCCTTTGGTATGAATTACATCTCAATGTAAAGAAAACAAAAATCCTCACCACTGGACCAATAAACAGTATTCTTATCAATGGAGAAAAGATTGAAGTTGTCAAGGACTTCATTCTTCTTGGATCAACTATCAACTCTCACGGGAAGCAGCAGTCAAATCAAACAATGTATTGCATTAGGCAAACCTGCTGCACAAGACCTTTTTAAAGTGTTGAAGAGCAAAGATGTCAGCTTGAGGACTAAGGTGCACCTGACCCAAACCATGGTATTTTCAATAACCCCATATGCATGTGAAAGCTGGACAGTGAATAAGGAGACTGCAGAAGAATTAATGCTTTTGAGTTATGGTGTTGGAGGAGAATATTATGGAAGAAGCGCAGCCAGAGTGCTCCTTAGAGGCCAAGATGGCTAAACTTCATCTCACATACGTTGGACATATTTTCAGGAGGGACCAGTCGCTGGAGAAGGATATCATGTTTGGTAAGGCGGAGGGTCAGAGAAAAAGAGGAAGACCCCCAATGAGACGGATTGCCCAACTGGCAGCATCGATGAACTCATCGATGTGTGGCCACAGTAGTGAGGTTGGCCCAAGATCGGGCAGTGTTATGTTCTGCTGTGCATAATGTTGCTATGGGTCTGTGCTGACTCGATGGCACCTAACAGCAACAACATGTGTGTCAGAGGAGAACTGTTCTCCTTAGGGTCTTCAATGGCTGATTTTCTAGAAGTAGATCACTGAGCCTTTTTTTCTGAGACACTTCTTTGTAGTTTCCAACAGCCAGCCTTTCACTTGGTAAATGAACCCTTACCTGTTTGTATCACCCAGAGAGTCCATTCTCTTATTAAAAAAGAAAAACCAAAAAAATGAAACCAGTAGCCATCAATCAGTTCTAAATCATGGCAACTCCTTGTGTGTCAGAGCAGAACTGCTTCACAGAGATTTCACAGCTGTGACCTTTCAGAAGCAGATCACCAGAACTTTTTTTTCACCCAGACACTCTGTTCAAACCATCAATCATTCTGCTGATAGTCGAATTCTTACTGTTTGCACTACCTGGGCCTCTCTCTTATACTGAACTGAAATCTACCTCCTTCAAACATTTTGCCACTGGTTCGAGCTCTTCCCTCTGGGTCCACACAGCAAATCAAATTCCTCTTTCTGATGATATAAGCACTTCATCCATTTGGGAATGGCTTCATGTCCCCTTGGATCTTTTCTTCTCTGGGTTAAGCAAAGAGACTTCCTTCTATGTGAAGATCCCTGGACTCCTCATCAGCCTTATCTTCATTCTCTGGATGTGACTCCATTGCTCAGTGGCCCCCACTTCCAACAATCAAACTTTGTATTCAGAAAGAGGTCTGCCCATTACACAACTGGACTGGTAATCCCTATATTATGAATTATGCAATGAATGGAGCCCTGGAACTCTGGGTTAAGCATTGGACTACTAACTGCAATATCATTGACTCAAATCTTCCAGTTGCTCCACAAATATGAAGATATCCACTCCCATAAAGATTTACAGTCTCAGAAACCATAGCGAGCAG